ACATAGCACGCTGTGCTTTTCTGCGTCTTGTACCGGCCGGATTTGAGGAAAACACCATTTTTGCGGGATTGTTGTCCGGCATTCTTACAACGTGTCCCGCCCGTGGAAGGGTACAATCTTCCACTTTTAGCGACTTTCTGGATATTGGGTTCGCCATAAAGTTACGCCAGTTCGTGGTTCATTCCTAAATAGAGCTGGAACTAGGGCGTAACAGCTTTTGTAATCAATGACTTCTCTCGATGATTTCGCGGAAGTCATGGCTCTCCAAGGCGAATCGACATCACCATCGATTAGAGAAAGACTTCTACTACCCGATGGATATGTTGGTTTGTGTAGGCGTGTCTTGAATTCCGAGAAATCAACAAGAGAAGTCATTGTTTACAAAGGCTGTTACGCCCTAATTCCAGCTCTATCTTGATTCTTCTACTCCATTCACCATTTTCATATACCCTCTGCCAAAGATGGTCCTAAGCACGCGTCGTTCGAAAACTCCCAGTGCTCCTCGAGCATTGTCCATTGTCATATTTTTCATGCACAATAATTTTGTTTATTATATATTTGCAGTTCGTTTGCAGCAATTTTTGGAGCGATCCGTGAAGGGGAAGGCTTGCCACTTGTATATCCGAACAGTGGACCAAACAAGCCAGCAACCCCGTCCAAAGTGTCATGCATTATTGACAAATTGGCACAGTGGGTCGATTTAAAGGGAGATCTGGAGGCGCAGCGATCACATTGTCATGATTGTCTGGTAGTTCACTCAAAAATGCTATAACAATCGCCAAGCTCGCTGTAATGTCACCAAGTGCCTCGTCACCTACAAATTGGCGCCTATGTCAGTGGTCTAACAACTCTTAGCGCGCTAATGGCATAGTTCCCCTGCCGCATAGAGAGTTGCCGCAATGATATTAGGTTAGCTAAGGTCAGTTAACTGACTGGTGGGAAACGGGAGCTTAAGCAATGGCTATTCTTTATGCATTTAAGAGATAGTCTACCAGAATGGATGACTTTTTTTGTACAATTTTATGTTTTCTGATGGTTTCGGTTGTGCAAAACATGAGAATTAACTTTTTCAATACTTTCAATTGTACAAAGCATTAGAGCTAGAAACAAGATCTTGTAAACACTACACACCTTAACTGGTAGTTTGCTAAAAAAAATGCTGCAAAAATCGTCAAGCTCGCTGTAATGTCACCATGTGCCTCGTCACCTACAAATTGGCGCCTATGTCAGTGGTCTAACAACTCTTAGCGCGCTAATGGCATAGTTCCCCTGCCGCATAGAGAGTTGCCGCAATGATATTAGGTTAGCTAAGGTCAGTTAACTGACTGGTGGGAAACGGGAGCTTCAGCATTGACTGTTATGCACGCATTTTTATGATGTAATCTAACAACAATCGTGTGTAGTGTTTACACGATCATGTTTCTAGTTCTAATGTGTTGTAAATATAATTGAAAGCATTTGAAAAGTAAGATTCTAGTGTTTTGTATATCTAAAAACATTAGTAAACATCTACATTTGAAAACATTCAAACAACGTTTACTTTAAACGTTTTGTACATCTGAAAACATCAGAGAACATCAAACACGAAGTACAATTGAAAACATCCGAACAACGTTTAGTTCTAACGTTGTGTACATCCGAAAACATCCAAAAAAAGTTTGGTTCCAGCATCGGGAGGCATCTACGTTAGAAAACATCAGAATACATTTACATATAAAAACATCCGAACAACGTTTAGTTCTAACGTTTTTTACATCCGAAAACAACCGAAAAACGTTTGATTCTAACATCAGGAAACCTCTACATTAGAAAACATCAGAAAACGTTTACATATAAAAACATCCGAAAAACGTTTAGTTCTAACGTTTTTTACATCTGAAAACATCCAAAAACGTTTGTTTCTAACATCAGGAAACATCTACATTAGAAAACATCAGAAAACGTTTACATTTAAAAACATCCGAACAACGTTTAGTTCTAACGTTTTGTACACCTGAAAACATCCTTAAAACGTTTGGTTCTAATGTAGATTGAAATTTTTGACGTCAGACCGACATTAGAATGGTAAAATTTTGTTCCAAAATTTCTGATGTATACACCATGTTACGTTGCTTAAATACAACTAAATCATAATGTTTTCTAATGTTTGACATCAGGCATACATTTGATTTCGATGCTGATGTAGACATCAAAATCAAACGTTGGGCTAATGTAAATTTCTATTCGGGATTTTATTGCAATATTGCGCATTTTGCACCTTACTGGTAAAGAGCCTGAATTTATAAAGAGACGACATGTCAAAATTGGAACAATCGATTGTCTGTCAAAGTCATTGGAAAAGTCATTCCAATCGAGCAGAAGACCTGTCAAATATATAAGATGTCGCCTCTTTATAAATTCAGGCTCTTTACTTACTGGACTCCGCACTTTGAAAGTGCGGGGATGAAATAAGTGTGGGCCATGCGTATGACAGATAGAGTTGTCAAAGTGACAGTTATGCTTATCAGAAGTGAGTGTCTGTTTTGGTTTTTGTTGTTGTTTTGATTTCAAGATCTTACACTCTCATTGCATTCTACTTGAAACACGTGTAAAAATAATTTTGCAAATTATTTGCAATTTTCCAAACAATTCTAAATTACTTATTTGTGAACAATTATATGGTTTTCCAAGTATGAATTAGATTGAACATGAGACGTGTTTAAATTCAAATGGTACACCTTTTTTGTTTCCAAATGTGTTAAACTCAATAGCGTTCTAGGCGTGAAATAACCAAAAAGTTCGTTGTTTTTCGTCAGCGTACCATCAAAGTGCGACTCAAAATCCAGTCACCACTGCAACAGACAATACCTTTCGTGAACCTTTCATAGCATCGTAATGTTTGTTTACTTTGCACGACAGGTAGCCGGTTTGACAGGTCATTAGGTATAGACTTGACTTCACTCTTGGCGTGACTCATTATACACCGACTCTATTACGCGTAACGTAAAACTAGAGTTACAGAAAGTGAAAAGCTTATACAAATGTGTATTAAATACATCCTAAATGTATACTTCCACCAATTATAAGGCACGGGTAGCTCCAACATGTATGCAACCTAAATATCATCATGCATAAAGCATAACACCTAATCTAGAATAAGAAAACTTTAGCAGATGGCAGATATTAAGCAACACGGCGAATGAGAACGACTCAAATTTGAGTTTAGTTCACTCATAATCGCCAAAAGTGCAGGAACTCAGCGATTAATGAAATTTGTCTCATGTTTTCCCAGGATTTTGCAGGGAAAATTTCCCGAATTTGAGAAAAGTAAAGATTGGATGCACTCAGTCTATTGGTACTACTCCGAGACTGAATAAAATTTTCGTCAATTTAATCATTTTCCGGGAGATTTTTTAGGTTTTCCACAGGAAACCATGAGACAAATTTACTCATCGCTGAGTTCCTGCACTTTTGGCGATTATGAGTGAACTAAACTCAAATTTGGGTCGTTCTCATTCGCCGTGAAGATAATTTCATTCTACTCCGCGACGAAACATGATATAGGGGAAATGGCTCTAATGTTGACCTATGGATCTAAGATTGGGCCCATCGCTAAAAATCTGCTATTTATCCATTTTACCTAGATAAACGCGTCATTGGGACGGTACTTATGTATATTTTTGGTCGCTATTGAAAAATTAGGGACGATATTAAAAGTTAATCCGAGTTGGAGCTTACCGCCATGAGAGAGCGAAATCGAAATTTTCTTTCGGAATCGTTTACTGAACTGTTTGCACATCTCATTCGGGAACTTTTATTCTCATTTCTTTCGCGATTTTCGCATAGCTATTTCTTCAGCAAAATGATTCTCTGGAGAACTGCGAAAGATCTTTTTTTTTGAAAATGAACTTTCCAACACTGAGCACGCTCTTACATATAGCCATATAGCACCAACCCTACGTGAAAATCTCTTTTGCAAGAGATCCTCTTCGAGCACTACAGTGAAAATAAACTCGACACTTTTGCATTCTATTTATCCGTCTTCTAATGTTTTTATCATGGTGGGTATACATGGTGATACAGTTTTGACACTAATATGGGCGTGCAGTACCAGTGTGCCAGTACTCTTCCAGAAGTGCAATTGAAAATGCGACTATGTAGCATTCTACTAGATATTGTAAAAAAAAAGCTTTCAGTGAAAAATATGTAAGAAGAGATCAATCAGTTTTAACTTGCACGTCTACCAACTAGATGAAAATTAAAATACCAATCAAACCAACCGCCATATGACTTAACCAATTCAATCAAAAGAAAAGGAATTAATATCTTTGTCAACAAGATAAAAATATCAGAAATCCATTTAAAAATTTCCGAAGATATTACAAAAAATAGTGAAAATTGTTATTTAGATTTGTTTTCTCGGTGACTCGCCCAGTGAACACTGGCCGTTTAGCATATGGAATTATGTGTCTCTAATGTTGCTCAAGCTCAAGTGAAGAAGTAGCAAACGGAACCAAAACCTTTATCGAAAATTTCTCTGAGAATGAAAACTCGTCCCAGCTAACCAACTGCATCTAGTTCCGATGAAATTGTTGGCTTCCATGAACAGACTTGCTTTACGTGAGATTTACATAATAAGCCGTTTATGCTATATTCATACTGGTGGCATAAGGCTCCTTGAATTTTTTTTTGTAATAAGTTATTACAATTATTATTAAATATTGGAACTCTGCAGTCTCTGAGCATAGCATTTAGCCCTTATTAAAAAACACTGTCAAAATTTACCTTAAGTCTTACCTTTTACTTTTAAAATAATAATTTTCCTTCGTATAGTAAACTATTTCACAATTGATTCAAAACGCACTGTTCTGAACTTGGTTCTTGAGCTATATCTATTGAAAAGATCTCAGAACATCTAATACTTACCTGGAAATCTTTTCAAATGCACAGTCAAGATACCTACTATTTGGATTTCTCTACTTTGATTATCGATCAATCACAAGTCAACACGGATATAAAGCTAGATTTTCGTTAGGATTATCCCCTCACTTCTTGTATTTTTTGTTGCAAATTTACACAGTAAGTTCGACTTAAGCTTAAACTCTGGATGGGTACAGCATCTAAAAGGAAAACAAAATAAAAACGATTTAGGATTCACCCCAAAATAAAAACATCTATATTACAAGCTTCAACTTACGATACGGATGCGATGTCCCATGGCGTGTCCGGGCAGGTTGGTCGTGAAGCGAGCCCTCACGCTACCGCTGTTACCGTGCGAGCGGGTGATCTTTCCCCAGATAGCGCGGATGTTGGACTTCTTCTCGGCGGCTCCTGGTGCGTTGAGCTTCGCCTTGCCACGGTACACATACACGCACCGTTTGCCGATGTAGAACAGGGCATTCTTACGGTTACGGCATCCCTCAACCTTCAGGATAGCATGGTTCTCGTGCTGGTTACGCAGGCCACGCTTATATCCGGTGAAGACGGACTTGGCCCATAGACGGCCGTAGCTCTTCTTTTGGTAGGGCAGAGCAGCCTTGGCGGTGCGTTGTCCCTTGGGCTTGTGGGTACGGGCCAGAATGGCTGCCTTGGTTTGCGACTTTTTCACACCCTTGGGGCCAGCTGGGGCAGGAGCGGCAACGGCGGCCGCCTTGGCGGCCTTACCGACCTTCTTGACGGCTGGCTTCTTTGCTGTATCGGCCATTGTAGTCTAGCTGGAAGTAAAGGAAAATAGTTGCACTGAGATCGGTTCAACGTTAACGTGAACGAAGCGAGTGTAAGATCCAAAATTCCAGAATGGTTCAAAATAGTGAGCAAGTGGACGAGGACGGTGATGGAGCGATCCATGTTTCGAGGTTATGCCAGACATCCAGTTGAATGTCAACAAAGCAGGAATCTGCTATTTAGCAAGGGTAATTAACAAATAAAACAGCACAAGGTTTTGAAGCACTTATGAGACCGTAAATTAATAGCATAAATTTAGTGATTGCACTAAAAACACGAATTCACATCGTTTTCTTTAAGAAAACAACACAGTTTGACAGTTCGACAGATTTTGCTTCGTCTCTCAACCCATAGAACGACGATCGGCACTATCAACAATCTAAGTTGCACTCTATTTCTCACGATTTTGAAGCATTTTTACAGAATTTTTTATCGCACTTCACTTGCTACAACTTTCGATTGTTTCCAAAGATATTTTTTTGCATAAAATTGCTATATTTCACTAAATTTACGCAAAATTTTTCGCAGTACCTCGGATGAAATGTGTCTACTAGCATACACGATGCCGGAAAAAGAGAGAGAAAAGGTTCGAACTGTCAGATTCCATATCTGTTTCAGTCACTTCCGTTGCGAGAAGCTGTCAGCAGCGATCTAGTACTGCAATTTATACAACGCGTTCAAATATGCTGCAAGGGCATTGAAAAAGCCAAGCACCAGATCAATGACATTTATATAAGGTCTGGGCCAACAGGCAGCTTGCTGGTGTTAGAAGCAAAAATGTTGTAAACATTGCTGAACATCTCCGAACAGATAGAAATACGTCACTGCCAACAGCTGTTTCGTGTAAAAAGATAAACATTGCAATAAAATACGAACACCACTAAACATTTGCACATTTCACTAACATCAATAAGCCCTTTGGCCCAGACCTTATATAAACGTCATTGGCACCAGATGGCCCGATCAAAAATGAAGGATTTTTTTTAATTTAGTGTATTGACGAGGGGGACGACTCTATCTACGATGCAGAAAAGATTGTGTTTTGCTGTGGCTAGCTGCGCGCACGCTGAGTAGATAGAAAGAAGATTGATGACGATTCTGAAGATTTCCTGCAAAAAGATGATGCGCGATGCAAGTAGATGCGAGAATGAAAGAAGATTTTTCGAAGATTGATTCGCTAGTGTGAGATTTGTTGAGCATCTAGACTTGAGATTTAGATGTGTCGCCCCCCTCGTGTATTGATCAGTTCACGAAGATTTGCCGCACTCTTCTCTTACCCGTAAGTTTTGACAGTTTTGGGTGGTTTGTTTTGGCTCCCATTCGTTGGTATCTCTTTTACTCAGAAGCAAAATGATAGGGAGCAAAAAGTGAGGTTAGGGACCGTGCACTGATCTATAGCAGTGCTGCAAAATCTCGACACGGCGATATTTAAAATTCTGCTTTAGCCACTCATTTTAGCTAACAGTCATGGTCAAGGCAAACCATGTCAATTGTCAGTGACAATGCTGTCAGTGACGAACATGTGCAGATTTTTTTTATTAGCTATAAATTTGTAACGAAATTAAATGACTTGATCAAAACAATTGACCACTTTGTCAAGCAGTTTTGGCGTGACTTTCTACCAGGGATTTCACAAAACTGGACCAACTAATTTTTATTTTTTTATGAAACGCACAAATGTTGGCTACTTTTCTCGAGGTTCTAGAAGAAAAAATCTCAAAATAATGTTTTATTTAAAAGTTCGAGTGGTAGTAAACGTCATTTTAAGTGCTCGAATGAAGTAGTTAATTAACCACTTTATTCGAGTACTTAAAATGACGTTTACTACCACTCGAACCATTGGTCCCAAGCAAACGATTAACGTACCCTATTCTAGTTGAAATTCTATTACTACACTATGTTTGTTTTGATCCGCTATGAAAGTTTGACAGATAACATCAGGGGTGTGTGGATTCATGCAGAACATGCAGGGGTGAGTGAAATAGCTTGGGATTGCTTGGGACCGTTGTTCTGGTACTGAGTGAGCCAAAAATAATAATGATTTTCTTCGGGACCCAGTGGTCTTAGAGTTACCTCTATGGTACAATCCAGTAGTAGTGGTGTTGCCATGTGGTACACTGAAAAATTGCAATAGCAGGAGAGTCTCCAAAGTTTTTGAGCCGCTCCGTCTGTCACTTCGTTTGTGGTAGTACCAATAGACTGAGTGAATCCAATCTTTACTTTTCTCAAATTCGTGATTTTTTTCCTGGAAAATCCTGGGAAAACATGAGACAAATTTACTCATCGCTGAGTTCCTTCACTTTTGGCGATTATGAGTGAACTAAATTCAAATTTGGGTCGTTCTCATTCGCCGTGTGCTGTCTACAAACAAAAAATCATCCTTCCCGTAATAGAATACGAGATGCCAATCTGGGAGAGTTGCGCCAAATGCAATCACCTTAAACTCCAAAGGATCCAGAACAAGATCCTTCGGATGGTCCTAAACAGTCCCCCGCGGACTAGAACTTCTGAGATCCACCGCCAGGCTGGAATTCAGACATTAGAAGAACGGAGAGTATTCATCCTGGAAAGGTTCAGAGACACCTGTCTGAGATCAAATCAGTGTCAACATTTCAAAAGGGCGTAATTGCATTTGTAAACAATGCTGGATGAACAATAGAAAAGGGCCCATCAGCATTTGTAAACAAACCGTTCCTAAGCCCATTACTCACAAAGCGAAGGCCACCCACGCAAACCAACACCATCATCGGATAGGGGAAACTTCCACCTACACGATGATGGTGTTGGTTTGTGTGGGCAGCCTTCGATTTGTGATTAATTGGCTTTGGAACGGTTTGTTTACAAATGCTGATGGGCCCTTTTCTATTGTTGATCCAGAATGACTTTAGCCATCGATTTCTCGCGAATAAAAGTATACTCATCAAGATTAAAGACACCAGCAGGTAGATGAATGTTTCCTTTACCAGCTAGCATTGTTAATTTGAAGGGTTGGGCTTTTATTTGCGAGAAATCGATAGCTCAAGCCATTGTTTACAAAAGCAATTACGCCCCTTTGAAATGTTGGTACTGAAATCATCAGATCATACGTGATCTAGCACGTTAGGTTAAGTTATACTCGTAGTTAGGTAGGTTTTCACTTTTTTCAATTCAAACAATTCAGTGCCAACATTTCAAAGGGGCGTAATTGCTTTTGTAAAAAATGACTTTAGCCGTCAATTTCTCGCGAATGACATCTTACCTCTCCAAAATTACAATGCTAGCTGGTAGAGGAAACATTCCTCTACCTGCTGGTGTCATTATTTTTCATGAGTGAGCTTTTATTCGCGAGAAATCGACGGCTAAAGCCATTGTTTACAAATGCAATTACGCCCCTTTGAAATGTTGGCACTGAATTGTAGTATCAATATCAATGTTGACCATTTTTTTACGGAAGGTAGGATGTTCATCGTAAAAAAAAAACTTAAAAATAGCATTCAGAAACGCGTTGGAAATGGATCCAATGAATCGCAATACTTCCACCACATTGATCTTACAAGAAACAGTCCTGCACTATATTGGCTCTCGCAATTGTCTCCACAAGACCATTAATATAGTGACTTTATAATATAAATACCTACGTCTTAATAATTGGTGGCTCGCAATCGACGAATGTTTGAGAACCACTGATATAAACATTGTTGAATAAAAAATAATTGTTAAAAAATATCGATTCGGTTAAAAAAAAATAGAGACAGGATTTTCGGATATTAGAAAAAAATAAATTAAGATTCTATACAACTTCATTTTACTAATCATTAGTTGTGATCAAGCGTTTATTTACACTAGGTTTTTTTTTTATTTTACTCTCTTAATCAGTTCTTTAAATTAATCGTTTGGAAAAGGTGAAAAAATAAGGAAACTAGCAATTTTGAGTATGTGGCCCTGAATCAAATCACGTTTCCTCCGTATCTTTTCACATTTTCTCACATCACTTTGCTTTTCTGTTGATTTTTGTAGAGTTTCTCATACTTCTCCACAGTTAAAAACAAAAACGACCATTGCTTGCTAAATTCGACTGTGCTCATTATACTGATGAAAAAAAATAATGAAATTTCGTTCACTTTACGAATAAAAAAAATTAATAAGGACAATAAATTAAAGCTGGCACTACACGGCATCAACAGGTGGACAGTTGGGGAATAATGTAGGAAGGGGGATCTAGAGAACAACTCACCCATCCTGGGGCGCCGAAAAAAAAAATAATCCTATGATGTACTCTACGTGAAGTGGAACTTGAACTGGAACGGTGACCCGTGCTGGAAGTGATGGAACGGATTTCCCCCACCGAAACCGTTGCGGTTGGCTTCCGGATCTAGCGGATCTTCACCGGCATCGAATTGTCGCCTCTTTTCCGGATCGGTGAGCACTTCCTTTGCGGCGGCAATATCGATGAACTTCTTCTCTGCAACCTTCTTTTCATCGCCCTGGAAGTTGTCCGGATGCCACTTTTGGGCAGCTTTTCGGTAAGCTTTCTTGATTTCCTTGTCATCAGCGGATCGTTTCACGTTAAGGATTTTATAGTAATCCCTTCGTTCCGATTGCTTCTGTAGCCTCTGAGCTCGTTCGATACCTTCCTTTGCGCGCTGGAAGCCATCGTTTACTTCCAGTGCCTCGCGATACTGGTGGATGGCATCGTCGTACATTTCTGCGCCGATGAGAGCTTCTGCACGATCACACATGACTTCTGGATCCTGATAGATGTCCAGTGCCTCCCGGCATCTGCCAACGGCGGCTGTGAACTGTTCATCTTTGACCAAACAGGAGCAGAGCAATTGTTTGCCGTTGTAGACAATCATTGGAACGTTCGGTTCCAGCTTGATGATTTTTTCGGCCTGTTGTGTGCAATCAGCGTACCGCTGTTCTTCTAAGGCTTGCTGAGCATCTACGTAAACCTTGTCCACCTTCTTGATTTTCTTATACAATGGAAAACAGTCTTTGTGCTCAGGATCTAGCTTTAAGCATTCGCGAATCTCTTTCAGAGCCGTCCCTGAATCGCCCAAGTCGTAGAGAATCTTCGACAGGGTGTAGTAGCCTTCGGTACTATCATGAGATAACCGATTCACCGACCGGAAGTCACTGACGGCGGCCAGGCGGTCTCCGATTCGAATATAGGACTGAGCTCGGGCTTCCCGGATTTCCACAGACCAAGGACAGATTTCCAGCAACTGTGTCAACAGGGCTATGGCCGTTGTATAGTCACCTCGTGAAATAACATCCAAACAGAGAACCCATTGCTCCCGTGCGGGATCGATCCTAGCGTACTGGAAGTTGACTTCGTGGTTGTGCGGATCCATTCGCAGCACGTTCATCAGGTCTATTTCTGCGTTGTCGAAATCGCCCATTTTCAAGTACACTTGACCACGTTGGGCGCGGGCCGCCATGAAGTCCGGCTTCAACTCCAACACCCGGGAGAAATCGTTGATGGCGAATTTAGCTTTACCCAAAGCCAGGTATACCGTGCCACGTTTGAAGTACGTCAGATAGTTGTTCGGGTCACCCTCTGGGGAAGATAACGAATGAGAGCAATAAACGTGCAATTAGAAAATTGAATGCAATTGGTTTATTACTATCGCCGAAGCGATAAGGGTTATTTCCGTGGATGGTGAGTGGAATGATTTCTAGCATAGTTATGATATATGTACAATAAACAGCATGGAGTGGCGCAAAGGTTGTATTACTGAAAATCAAATTTCAACAAGAGTCTGAGTGTTCTAATAGAAAGCTTTCTTCTAGCTTCTTTTTCTAGTTGCAACAAAGCTTAGAGTTCAGTGTATGAAAAACAGCCGTATTTCATGATTAGTGGGCCTGATAAGCAAATGAAACTGAAGCAAGTTCATTGCCTTTTTGATTAGAAATTTCCCATTAGTAGTTGTCATGATTCAGCAATTTCACCCTGGGTGCATGATATTGATATACGATGACTGCGTACGGAATACATATCGTCGATATGATGTTGAATTCCCTATAGTCATTACTTGTGTGATTGAACTCCTGTTTTTATAATGTAAGAACGATTCCGACAGTATCCTCGCAGCGCTTTTGTCCTGTACCATTTCAGTAAAGGCAAGTGACCATCGGACCACGGCGAGCAATAGGCACAAATACAGCATGATGTCCCAAATCATTTGATTGAAATATTGAACGGCATCGTCAACACCCAGCTGATACTAACGGCCACCAGGAGATAGCAGAACTAATTTCAGCATAGTAATCTTGTCGGAAATCTAGTGTACAATTATCTTGGAAAACGATTGGCGCTGGAAGATTCATCAGGACGCAGGATGATCTTCGTAAGGCCATGTAAAGCGAAACTATTGATAAGCGTTGAACTAACAGCAAATGAAAATATTTGACTCACATGGTCATGAACAGGGTTAGCGAGCCAGTTGTGCCATGTACCATGTGTGCAATGGTATCAGTTTTGGTTCAACCAATGGATCACTGATTCGAGCAGTTTAAAATGACGTTTCCTACCACTCGAACTTATAGTCGCTATATTCATAATCTGGCGGATAGAATTTCGATCTATCAAAAAGCGGAACCAATTCAATATATTGTAGACAAACAATTGAAAAGGCACTATCAACTGTTATAAACAAAACGATGATTATTCTTTCCTCACCAATCGAACGCAAATTACCAGTATCATCGGATAGGGGAAACTCTCCTCAACCCAAAGATGGCGTTAGTTTGCGTAGGCGAGCCTTGAGTCACGAGAAAAGGGTTTCCGAAGTTTTGTTCGCAATAGCTGATGTGCTCTTTTCAGTTGTTGGTCATGATTTGCTCGATGGGTTCCGCTTTTTGACAGCCTAATTGGTTCCCGAAATTCTATCCGCCAGGTGGGTATATAAATGGTGGTACAGCTTTGTCACTATATAGGCGAGGAGGTCGCGGGGGGGAAAGTGCGGTTTTAAAGCAAATTGTAAACAAACGCGGTCGCTGTCCCATACAAAAATCCAACATTGCTGAATCATGAATTTGACACATTAGAACACCTATATGTAGCCACCTTGCGCCAGACTATGAATATAGCGACTATACTCGAACTTTGCCGTGGATCAATATTTTGATATTTTTGCTTCTATAGAAACTTGAACTTTCATTTTCTTAAAATCGCTGGCACATGGTCAATGAGATTACCCCAAATTTGAGTTCATTTTACACATAAATCGCAAAAAGTGCAGGAACTCAGTGATGGTAAATTTGCCTCATGTTTTTCCAGTGTTTTCCAGGATAAAACAAAACCCCAAATTTGTGAAAAGTAAAGATTGGATTATCTCAGTCCCTAGCGGCGCCGGTGGTGTAGTGGTTAGCGTGATTACCTTTCACCCCAGCAGGCCTGGGCTCAATCCCAGTCGGCGCCGCGGGGATGTTCTGAGGCATAGCATCGCTGATCACGCCTTCGTTCGGAAGAGAAGTAAAGCCGTTGGTCCCCGGTTCATGAGTTGATGGATCCATAGGTAGGGTCCAGGTGTGGGAGCTGGCTCCGTGGCGTCGGTAGCATTGGTGCTCAGCACGGAAAACAAATCAAGGAAAAAAAAAATCAGTCCATTGTAGACTGAGTAAAATTCTCGTCAATTTTCCTCATTTTCCGGCAGATTTTTGTGGTTTTCCACAAGAAAGCATGAGGCAAATTTACTCATCGCTGACCTCCTGCACTTTTTTGCAATTTAAGAGTCAACTAAACTCAAATTTGGGTCGATCTCATTGGCCGTGTTATTCCAAAACTGCTTGGAAATCCGGAGTGATTTGAGATTTGGGCATAATTGCATTTGTAAACAAACACGCCAATCGCCGATTTCTCGCGAATAAACGCTCTGTCTCGAAAACTAATAACACTATGAGGTAGAGGAATGATTCCTTTGTCATTTGGTATATTTTGCTTATGAGATTGAGCTTTTATTCAAGAGAAATCGGCAATTGACGTGTTTGTTTACAAATGCAATTACGCCCAAATCTCAAATCCATCCGGAAATATGATTAATAGGTCACATCATTCGAGCAGTTTAAAATTACATTTCCACACACCACTCGAAGTTTGCCGTGGGTCAATATTAAAAAAAAATCTTCTAGAACCTCGAGAAAACAGGATCTGATGACTTTTATAGATAGATATGTCATTAGGGCGTAACAGCTTTTGTAACCAATGGCTTCACTCGATGATTTCTAGGAATTCAAGGTACGCTCACGCAAACGAACATAACCATCGGGTAGTGCAAGTCTTTCCCCGATGTCAATCATACAAGGTCTGGAACAACCGTTTTTCCCTACCCGATCATGATGTTGATTTGCGTGGGTGAGCCCAAGGTGACTACATATAGGTGTTCTAATGTGTCAAATTTATGATTCAGTCATGTTGGATTTTTGTATAGAGATCTCCATGCGCAATTTCACGAACACTAAAATCCAACACCCATATATAAAAATGAAGAAGAAGAAGAAACAATCAAAACTACTTTAAAAGGTAGCGACCGAGTTTGTTTACAATTTGCTCTAAAACTGCACTTCATTATTTATAGAGATTGCTGGTCTTTGAAACAATTGCTGAGAAACTTGGTATCGTGGGTGAATATCTGAGAGACGTGAATTAAATTTTTGAACAGTTGAAGATCTTCAGAGTTATACAAAATCAACCTGAAGATAGGAGAACATCCTGAGAAAATCACCTGAAGGCCTTTGGAATATTTTCTGAGACACCTGGTATCATGAGATGAATTGTTAAATAGGTTGAGATCTTCATCAGAATAGAATTCTTTAAAAAGTATCCAGAGGACTTTATAGACATCTTAAAACACATGGAATAATTTATAAGCTGCCTTGTATCATATGGAGAGGAGATGTGATTTAGATTGTTGGATATTTGGATTTTTTCAGAATGATACCTTATCAATCCGAAGTCTTGAAAGAATATCTAAAGGACTTCATGGAGATCTTAGAACACCTGCAGATCATTGGAATAATTACTGAGCAGACTGGTATCATATGAGAGAATATTTTCTTGATGTAAAAGACGCAAGCGCTTTCATGAAATTCTTTGAAGAACCATGGATTTTCATGAAGTTCTATAATATACTATGAAATTCTCAGAACTACTACCGATCTTTTATGAAATGCCACTCACTTCAATATTCTCAAACTTCTCAGAACTTCCCAACATTTCTGTAAAATTTCCATATTTCTATTGAATCTTCTCCACCAAGTTCTTTGAACATTTACGAGAAGCATCAATAAATACATCCAAATAAATTTAAAACAGAATTCCATTCGTGTTTCAAACCCACTCAGAAATAAAACCGAATAGTCGAACAGTTGCAAATCTGGTGCAAAAAAGTGCTCGAATAATGAAACTGCAACTCTGCATTGTGAGGGATGCGTTTCTGTTCTAGTGAAACAGGTTATATAGGGGGTCATTCCGAGAGTCGAAGTGACTTTTATCACTAGTGAAGTGAGAAAAGTCACATCGTGGTGACGTGACTCTCCATTTGATTTGCACAGAGAGGCACGTCACCACGACGTGACCTTTCTCACTTCACTAGTGACAAAAGTCACTTCGACTCTCGGAATAACCCCCATAAACTACAACAGCATTGCGAACGGCCTAAAGCTTGTGACGCAATATTTGGTGTTGCGTGGATGGGTTTTGATTCGTTCGAAATCATCATTTATAGTCATTGTATACATTTGGCACATTGGCCCTAGATTTTTTTTTTTCGGTTTTGAGCTTCATACCATTATGCAGACTCAAGTTTTTTTTTTTCATTTGAATGCAATTTTGGAGATTTTAAGGTCATATTGACCTTACAACATCTTTATTTAATATTAGTGGGTCACGAGCTAATGAAGTTTCTCATACTCAGGAGGTCACATTCGACAACAGTTTGAGAATCACTGAACTAAACATTATTGGTTGGTAACCAGTCTTGAGGAATGAATGAAATGTCGAGTGGGGCCTCAACAAGGAAATTAAGGAATTTGATAGGAATTTGACATAGGGCCTCCCTTAGCTCAGTCGGTAATGGTGCAGCTACAAACCAAGATCATGCTGAAGGTGGCTGGGTTCGATTCCCGGTCCGGTCTAGGAATTTTTCGGGTTGGAAAATTTCTCGACTTCCCTGGGCATAGAAGTATGATTGTACAGGCATCGAAAGCTCTCAATTAATAACTGTGGAGGTGCATCTAGAACACTAAGTTGAGAGCACGAAATAAGCTAATATACGAAAAGCAATAAGTTGGAATGTGCAGAAGAATACGAAGTTGACATAGGGTCAAGTTAAAGCAAAAGCAAGCAACCATCCAGGATGGAAATATTCCGTTTCCGCGAAATAAATCGGAATGTGGAGTGTGGAAAACGTTTTGTGGTCTACCAGCAGACTTCCATACAACCGGGCAGCACCGTATTTGCAGCGTAAGATTGTCTGGTATGGTGATGCATTAGACTGATGCAAAATTTGAAATTTTCGCTCCACAGTGTTCAAACGGTTTCAAATCGGGTCCTGACTAGCCTCCGAAAGTTTAAATTCATTTGATAAGAAACTGACTTGGCACAAACCATTTCAAGTTTATATGGAAATTACTATGGGAAAACAAAACTTTTTGTTCATTGTCTTCTAGCCTTTTACATATTGTACTGTTAAAAAATTCTATTGCTATTCTTATGGGAATTTTTATCAGCTACAACTTTGCAGAAAATCGTTTTTCAGCCAAACGTCAAATTAAATAGTTATTAATTGTTTAAGACATTGATAATCTTATGGCAAGATTAAAGGCCCAAGCGCAATGGCAGCGGAAGCGGAACGGCAGCGGCAACGGAAAAGCCCGATCAGAGTAAGCCTACTTGTCGGATTGAAAGCAAGTTAGAATCAAATCGACTTCGGTTAGGCAGCTTGATGTCATTAGTGACAACTGTCAAACTTTCCGTTTCCGTTCCGCTTCCGCCCACATTGCGTTTAGGCCTTAAGCAACTGTATTGTGGGCAACACTGTATTCTGCAGTGTGACATAGTAGCCATGATTTTTGTCCTCTATTCTACGTGCCATAAACACCAATGTTGCCTGCTGAACAGTCGATGGAGCATAATCATAAGACATCAGTGACTTGAATCATTAATATTTTGTTGTTCCTTACATTTGATCGAAAAGTGGTCTTCAACTAAGTTGTAGCTGAGAAAATTTTCAACAAGCTCAGCTATCATTTTCTAAAGTACAGTGAACTGGTGAATTTTGAAATAAATATGAACCGAAATTATGGTTTCTCTATAGTAATTCCCATATAAAATTCAAATGGTTTGTGCCAAGTCAGTTTCTCACAAAATAGGGTTTAATTTTGGAGCGAAAATTTCAAATTTTGCATCAGTCTACTGATGCATCCTTTCGATTTTTAATTTAATCACTTAATTTATCACTCGAGATAAAAATTATAACGTAATGCAAATAAATAATAATTTTGCTCATAATATTATAATGCTTCCTTCGTTAAAAGCACCATGATGACGTCATGCTCGTTTGGCTTCATTCTACTTCGCCTCCGCTTATCTATGGACTCTATAGTATCTATGGTTGTAATCTATGTGTTTTACACACAATACCTGTCGATTTCGCATTTAGAGAGTCACAATTTCACAATTAGCAATCTTATAATCGGTGAATATTCACTCTACATTAAGAGTGAATATTCATTGATCATCAAATTATGATTCTCTGATAGCGAAATTGTCAGATTTCATGTGTCCAACACATTACGATCTCTTCTTTTTTTCCTTCATTAGAGTAACTTTCACCCAGTGGACGTTACTTAAGCAAGTGGAAAATATCATAACAGTTAATTATTTCATAATATCGAAAAACATTTTTTTTAGTAAACAAATGGCCGCAACCCTACATTTACAATGCGTTTACCGGTAGTATAGATTATCTTAGAGAATGCTGAAGACTTCAGGGAACTTTAGAGAATCTCTATGGAAGTCTTCCAAACTTCCTTCTGCCTCGCGTATTCATATGGTAGATACTTGATTATAATTATTCTAGCGATTAAAATTATTAAGAACATATCGTAGCGGTCAATTCATAGTGAAAACAAATAGCGTAGGTACCGGAGTTGGAGCACCATCAATGATTCTATTTTTTTTTTATCTTTTCGGACTTACCAACAGCGGCATGATAGTGCGTAAGCGCATCCGACAGCTGTCCTTTTGTGAGCAGATCTCTTCCCATTTCTAGATGACGATTGATCTCTGCTTGTGATGCAGCCGAATCGGCACCTGAAATTGAACATTTGAAAAACTTTTAAACACCCGCTCAATTGTCTAAGTTCTGAATGTTGACAATGTCTCTCAAACGGGTCTGCGTGCCGCACTGCGCTAAGACTGTATTTGGGACACGTCAGTGTTTAGTTGTCTGTGATGTTCGTAGCCGATTGCGGGGATCGAAGACGAAGGCAAAATATATTATCGCTCTTTTTTTTTTACCCAATCCAAATGCAGTCCCAAAACTCTCGTTTGGCTTCATCGCACTTCGGTGGCATAATCTGATTCTTAATTACTTTAACAGGACTTACGGTCGAAAAACAGTTCTAATAATAGAAACATCAGCACCGTGGTCAGCCTTCGACTATCGCTAAGTTGCGACATTTCGTAGATGTTTGACAGCATCCTTCCGTGATTGGATCTTTTCCTTGATTTTCACACACACAAACTATTAAAGCACACACTTTTTTTCTCCCGATGGACATCCGAATACTAAACGTTCATATTTTCACTGGAACCTATTGCTATCACCCAAGAGTTAACCAATTTCTGTCCGTCTCCGTTGCTTTTTGTGATGATTTTGTCCAATTGGCGATAGTTTTTGAACGACTGACGTGTTTTGGGGAGAGATATTCAGAATGCAGATAGCGGATCATTCGAGCAGTTTTGACAGCCGCTTGGATGTGGTCGATGCTGATTGGTCGGATGGTTGACGTTTCACTGACACATTCTGCTGCATGGGACGACGGATGAAGCAAATGCGCATTGAAGTTAAGGGTTTGGGAACAGTGTCACGAGAGAGGTAGTAGATTAGATATTCAAAAAATGTTCGGTCGGTTGGTCGGAAGTGAGAGAAATTTTACGTGCGCAATATGAAGAATTTTGTTTACTAACGAAATAATAAAATCAAAGCCTATCAAACATAAAGTCTATCAGAATCTGTCAATTAAAAGGCTTAAATGTTTGTGTTTCGGTGTGCCATCTAATTAATGAAGTTGTTTGAAAGAATAAAGTGAACAGATCACATCGTTAAAAAGTGAGAAAGCCATCATGTACCCGGTAAGTACCGATTTTTTTTTTTTTTTTTTTTGGGGATATGTATTTACTTCACGGCGAATGAGAACGACTCAAATTTGAGTTTAGTTCACTCATAATCGCCAAAAGTGCAGGAACGCAGCGATGAGTTAAATTTATCTCATGGTTTCTTGTGGAAAACCTAAAAAATCTGCCGAAAAATGAGGAAATTGACGAAAATTTTATTCAGTCTCGGAGTTGTACCAATAAACTGAGTGAATCCAATCTTTACTTTTCTCAAATTCGGTTATGCACTTTTGGCGATTATGAGTGAACTAAACTCAAATTTGGGTTGTTCTCATTCGCCGTGTTCTTTTAATGACATTTCATTATTGCACATTGTAAAACAATTTTCATTTATAAGTTGTGTGCTAACGCTTATAAAACTACGGCTTTACGGTACATATTGTTGGTGTCTACGGCGCACTTATTCCTTATGAACAGCAAAATGTAAGGTGAATCTCTAGGGAGGCCTTCCCCCCTATTTTGCGAGTCACGTGACTCTCTCTCACCGGTGAGGTGACAATAGTCACCTCGTGTGAGGTGAGTCTCCATTTGATTTACATGGAGAGTCACCTCACCGGTGACAGAGAGTCACGTGACTCGCAGAATAAGGGGGCTTATCTTGAGGGTTTGGGAGCGCACACTGTACACACACATGCCTTTTTTTTTCTTCGCTTTCCAAACTTATTGCTTATCGCATATTAGCTTTCGCGTGTTTTCAACTTAGGCTCTGAACCATTTGGTGGATTATTTTAACTTTTGGTTAAAATTTGACAGATGGAAAGTTCTAGACTAACATTTGAAAAGGGCGTAATTCCAAAATGACCATATCGAGCAAATCGCTTCTGAATTTTGATGACCCTAACAATTAATCCTATTTCACGACTTTCCATTTTCTGGATGATTCCATAAGCTTGACATATAGTTAATAGTGTAATCTATCATCGTGCATCACTAAAAACTCAAAAAAAGTTTTCTTTGTCGTGAAATTGAGAAGAAAACATCATACGCCGCGATAATTTCATACATGTTATTACCATAGAGGTAACTCTAAGACCACTGGGTCCCGAAGAAAATCATTATTATTTTTGGCTCACTTAGTACCAGAACAACGGTCCCAAGCAGTCCCAAGCTATTTCACTCACCCCTGCATGTTCTGCATGAATCCACACACCCCTGATGTTATCTGTCAAACTTTCATAGCGAATCAAAACAAACATAGTGTAGTAATAGAATTTCAACTAGAATAGGGTACGTTAATCGTTTGCTTGGTACCAATAGGCTACTAAAGTGGTGAGCCAATTTAAAATCGTTAGTTTCGTATTGATTGTTGTTATTACCCCCCAGATCTTCCACCCTTTGAACTGCCAACACTGGTGATACGCCGTGGAAGTACCATAGAGGTAACTCTAAAACGCTGTCCAGACTGGAGAGTTATAACATGTTATAACGGTTGTCAAATAATTGCAACACAGAAACCACCATCAAGATAGCGCTATAACATGTTATAACTCTGTAGTCTGAACGTACTATAAGACTAGTAGGCAGAGCTGCCAGGTGGTTTTATAAAAAATCTGTATCCACTCTATTAAAAAATCTGTATTTTCTGTATTGACGATTTTTTTCTTAATTAATCATGTTTTGTTGTTTTACAAATACAGTGCATACAAAATAACCATAAAAAGTGCTTAACCACCTATTCGGGCTATCGTACTAACCATACGGGATATAATTGCGCCATTTGTGATATCGTCCGTACTTATTTATAAGAGTGATATGAAGCCGTTTGAAAATGTATGGAGATTTTAGTTTCTATTCATTATCTTCCTGATAAGCAGTTTTAAATGCAAAAAAGTGCACGAGTTCATTACTATTTGATATTTTTAATATAGATGAATACAATTAATTACATCATTTGTGTGGTAGTTACACCGAAAAGTCGAGAGATGTCGCCCCGCCAGTGCTGGTAAAATCATTTTTGTAGTATGGAGAATATCAGAAAATCCGCAATTTCTTACGAAATACATTTTCAATGCAAGTAAAATGTTTACGAGTACTTGTATTTGTACCATTTTAATGTGCTCGGGCACTTTTCTTGTATTTAACATACATGCTTATTTTGGAACTATTCAATTAATACTGTAAATCCCCATACAATCTCAAATCGTTTACTACCAGCTCCATATGCATCATTTTATAAAAATCTGTATAAATCTGTATTGTAATTAAAAAATCTGTTATAAATCTGTATTCTGTATCGGGTCTGTATTAAGATTAAAAAATCTGTATAATACAGATAAATCTGTATAAATGGCAGCGCTGATCCGATTGATAGTTCACGTGTAAACAACGAACAAAAAGAAGACCAAAAAATCTCCGGGCGTAATTCCACTCTCACAAAATTTGTGAACGAAGAACAACAAACAAACAATCCCGAGGGTGTACTTCCACGGCGTATCACCAGTGTTGGCAGTTCAAAGGGTGGAAGATCTGGGGGGTAACAACATGTATGAAATTATCAGGGCGTATGATGTTTTCTTCTCAATTTCACGACAAATAAAACTTTTTTTGAGTTTTTAGTGATGCACGATGATAGATTACACTATTAACTATATGTCAAGCTTATAAAATCAACCAGAAAATGGAAAGTCGTGAAATAGGATTAATTTTTAGGTCAACAAAATTCAGAAGCGATTTTCTCGATATGGTCATTTTGGAATTACGCCCTTTTCAAATGTTTGTCTAGAATTACGCCCGGAGATTTTTTTGGTCTTCTTTTTGTTCGTTGTTTACAAGTGAACTATCAATCGGATGCATTTCAAATGAATCGGGCGTGACTAGATACTACACTACTGAATCAAAACGTTTGGCATATTAAAACTATATAACTTGTAGTTCTGGTGCAAGGCGTAACAACCAGATGCATCACAGAGTTGAAAGTTGGAAAAACCAGCTGGGTGATATGCCGCCATGTTATTGAAACCAACATCTGAAACGTCACAATTCAAGTGTGAACTGCAAAAATGGCGTGACTGCATAGTCTTATTTTTATCAAATGAAATTATTTTCCCTTTCATGGTTGACTTCGTGGTAGAAAATCAGAAAACAATATTTTATGAGTTCTAAGTTTATTTTTCACAAAATGTAAGCAAAAATATTAAGAATAACTAAAATGTCAGTCACGCCTTTTTTGAAATTCTGGCATGAATCTTCTATTTGTTTACAAATTATGAGCTGTCAGTGGGGCCCACGACTCGCGGGCCCGCAGCGATGTTAGCTCTTTTCAAGGCAAGGCAAACAAGATAGGGATGCCACCCAGCTGGGAAAAACGCCATGTAAGAAGAAACGTTTTTGATGAATTATGTCTGAAAATAGTTTACAGTGAAGTGTAAGTATGCAGTCTGTGCAACCTTTGATTGAAGTGAAGACGGTATAAATTATCTTTGCAAACTCTGATGACAATTGAATAGAGATTTTGTCAAGAAAGGAAATAGTTAGAATTCGGAAGAGAAATTATAGAAAATTCTTAAGATGAAACTTAAGAGAATTCTTATGCGAATCGTGAGAATAATTTCAATGGAATTGTGTGCAATGTTTCTATGGAGATTAATTTTTTTCAAACTTTAAGAAAGCTTGCAATTTATGGGAGATTTTCAAGGCCTTTTTGGCGAAATACTTGAGTACTTAGGAAATACTGAAGAGGATTTCAAAACAATTCTGATCTTACCTACAAAGCAGTTCAAAGAATAAGTCTGAGAAGAATGTGATGGTCATTCTGAAGAGCGTACCAAGGAAATTATTGAGAATATTCTAAGGAAGTTTCATAGAGAAAAATTGAGACAAAATTATGCCAATTCTTGGAAATTATTACCAGTTTGAAGGAATTATGGAATCAGAGAGCGATTTATAAGAAATTACAAGAGATAATGCTAAGCACTCTTAGAATTTTACTGAAAAAGTTTGGATATTATCAAGATTAGTTTAGGGAAATCTAGATGATTGTAGTAGTAGTATGATGAAATTCTAGGATGATTAAAATTGAACTCTGTAAATGAAGTACAGTCAGACTAACAAAAAATGTCATGATCTGGGACCCAGGAAAAATATACATTCCAGAATTTAGAATCATTTCAAGATCCTGAGACTTCTCCTGCGCTTTGGTCAGAGAGCGTATAGGGCGTCGTTGTGCCAATTTGGTCGTGGCACATTTCGAGTATGAGAGAGTGATTGCAGTTTGCTCAAAAGTGCCTGAGTAAAATGCAAGTATTTTCGATGATTACCCGTAGTTGTTACAGTGAAGATATACACCCATATTCTCGTTTATGTCTGGACTTGTTTCCCTAATAAAAATTGTATGGTTAATTTGCTTAACGACGTGTTCTGGGTATCATCCAAACCATTTGTGGAATAGTTCAATGGTTTGGGTTATCGTTCGTTTATGGTTATTTTTTATTAGGGTTGCCATACAGAAACATTTTTATTTGATTTTGTGTGGTAGATGGGTTTCGGGCGTGGACAGGCATATTGACGAGTGCACGGATGGATTTGAGTTCACTCACTCGACAAAAAGTGACACAACAGCGGGGCCCTGTTTACTAAAAATGAACACATGAATAATGCTCGCGTAACATTTGAAAAGGGCCTATCAACTTTTGTAAATAATTTGCTAGGTCCTTTTCACGAGAACCGAAGTACGCCCACGCAAACCAAGAATCCATCCGTGCACTCGTCAATGGGTGATAATATTAAGTTTACGTTAGGATAACGTTGAAACATTGAGAAATGTATCGCTTCAGTTTAAGAAGCACTTCACTTCGCAACCGATGAACCATTCTGACGGCCCACATTACCGTGCAGGCGCCGTGTGTTGGCAGGGTCCAATATTGGACAGTTTGACGTTTATAAAGTACCATCAGTTAAAACTGTATTTTTGAACTTTATCTCTATACATTCTTAGATGTTTCTTAGTAGATTATCATGTTGGTGTAAGCTGATTCAAAGAGTAAATGGTATTAACATTGAGCTGTCCATAGTTGGGCGTTGTTGAACTTCTGGTACTTGCACAACATTTCATGTGAATACCAAAGTAACCATATAATCACAAAATAGCTTTAGGTGTGGGTTCAGAGTGGTACAATGTCACTGAGATATGGTTAGTTGGGTATTCAGATGAAACTATTACTTTAAAAAACTAATCCTGGTTGCATCTCTTTTTCGTTTGCATGTAACACTGTTTGATATTACTAACCACACCGAGCCTTCATTCCGGGTGGTGAGCGAACCTGAAGAAGAAGAAGAAGACCATAAACCCCTTCTCGGAACGAGTGTTTTCTTAGTAGACCTGGTCTGCGATTCAAGATTGGACTCTGTGATGATAAGTATCACATAACAGGTAAAGTAGGCAGCATCATCTTTATCGAAATGTAAGTATTATTGACAATAATCATAACTAGATTATATGCAAATTTATATGATAGGTACTTGGATCAACGTTGTTTAAACATGCGCATTCAATCGGACGGCATCTAATTCTGCATTTTAAACCTACCCAACCCTTTTCCTTTCTACAATCCCTGAGCCGCTGGTTCACCATAAGTGTACCTCGCAGAACTTTTTTAACCCCCATGGGTAAATATGCTGTGTTGTTCACTCCTCTCCCCTTCCCTGATGTATTATCGATGGTGTGAATATTCACATCGGTGACATGGCCCCTGACCCCCTTGTACATCATAAAATGAAAATGAAAATGAAATGAAATGTCAAGATCCTGAGACTTCAAAAATGACGCTTTCAGACGAAAGTCTGAATTTTAGTTATATAATAATATTATTCTTTGACATAACATTATTTGTAATGGTCATGTGGAGTAACCCGTAGTTTAGGTAAACTGTGCGTGAGTACCACGATGTTAGGCTTTGATTCTCACTTCAGCCAGAAGAATTTTAGTTTGAAATAAAATTGCCTACTGGTCTACTGAGTGTTGTGAGTTGAATGATGTCAAGAATGAAAATGGAAATCTGATCAATCTCAGAGTAATATTAGAATTATACAGAACTAATAAAATCTTTAAGACATATTCTGGTACTGCATCAAATAGTAAGGACTAAATCGACTATTAGTGTAAAAAAATCATCCCATCAAAGTTGCTTGACTCTTTGCTGCTTTAGAATTCTAAAAATATTTTCTGCGGTATTTTATTAATTTAAATCAATTTTGAAATGCTGCGTAATGGATATTTAAACTTTTTGGGAACACTGTGTCAATAATTTTCTTAACTTTTGGATGATTTTAGCAATGCCAACAAGTTGGCTTTATATACTTTTTTAAACATGGATTTCATAAACATTCTGGTAGACTTTGAATAAATTCCAGATGATCATCCTGACCGATTTTTACGGGAGATTGGCACATCACTTTGATTTCAGTTGCATTATATTAAAAACATGATTTTTGGAGCATTCCAGATTTATCCAGAATTCATATTTAGACTGGTCCAGATTTTTAAAGAATGGCCTGGCAACACTGATTCCTAGTCACCGAACCAACTACGGCCAGCATAATCCATTAGACGCGTGCTGCAGAGTTTTCAATGAAATTAGCCATGTATTTGAGTTCAACTTTAGTAAATAAGTCTATAAAAATAGGAATGTTTTAACTATTAGGAATGGAGGATTGTAGTGTTCATTATACGTTTAACGCAAAATTGATACGAATGCGATGATACGAACAAGAACCGAATGTATCATGAATAAGAGTCGTTGTTTAGCAACCGAGTGTATCACTAGCCTTTTACTTTATCACGAAATACAGTTAACACATGGCATCAGTGAGTAAAATTTGTAGAAAATGTGACAAACTATGAGCATGAGCACTATTTGAATAATAAATCTCATGCTTATCCATGGTCACAGTAGTATAGTTATCGTATAGTACGCATAATTTGTTATGTAAATAATGCTCATGCTCATAGTTTGTCATACAACTGTATCCGCTGCATTAGACAATTGATTTAATTGCCAGCGCAATGTATCACGAACGGATGCCTTGTGCGTAGGCCATATGGCTATAGAGGCAAACCAATATGCATCTAACAAACTAACTCTAGGCGCAATGTACAAATGGATTTAATCTGATTTAATGTATGCCGTTTGACAGTGTTCATATTTTTTCAGCAAGTGTTCATAGAGGTTAAAAGCTTATTAAAACGGTTTTATCAATTAATCATAGGTTCATTTTAATATTTACTTAAGTTGAACAACTGTAACAACTATTAAAAAGATGCAAATATTACTATATTTCACCTAAAACTGTGTATTTCATGCATGAAAATGAAAATAAAAATTGTGTATTGCATGCTTAACCCTCTCTTTCTGAGAAGGGGTTTCGTATCAGATCAATTTAATATCTCGTTTTAGGTACAATTATAGCAGCAGTACTGATCACCATGCATCCAAATTTAATGAAAAATTGTACCGTGACGAGCCATAATTTCTCGTATCGCCGAACTTCGCTCATTTTGTCAAAATGTTCTAGTAGGTATATTGTTATGTTTTCTTTATTTATATTTTTCACATACACTACATTATAAACTATTTTAGAATTACTAAAAATGAGCAAAATAAGGACTTAGGTACATGACACTGTGCCACTTTACGATAACTTTTTTGTTATTTTTTTTTTATTAAACGAAAAAAAAACCGCTGGTGCTCTAATGTTTTCTAGGTACCATGACAAGGGATTATTTAAGTTGTGACAGGTATATTAATAATAACACAATATCTTTTCCGTACAATAACATTGTTAGTAGATATCACTTGCGTGATCAAATGCAGATTTCTAAGTAGATTTCTTAAATTGTACCAATATGATATGGTCAATCGCCATCACCATAGTAGATAATGCGGAATAACGATTGCTATTTGCCAAGATATATGCAGAACGAATCACGTCGGCAGCAATTTTGGAGTTCTCAGGTGAACATACATTTACACGGAGGTGACCTACAAACACGAGGATACGCTTATTCTGCTAGTAGGATGTGTATGGGTAGTTGTTTATCTACTGCGTTCGTAATAGGAGTTGTCAAATTTATTTAGTCGCAAAACAATGTAAATAGATTCAAATATCCCTTCAAACGCATCAATTAGCACATCAACAGCATCACAACACGTTGCTCATATGGAGCCGCAAGTAACCGGGCATGGAAGTTCGACTGTTTGAAGATGTGGATGACGGTGAAAGTATTTCAAAGGATTTTGCCTCGGACGATAAGTTTGCGGAAGAGAAGATTGCCTCGGAGATTTCATCAACGCTACAGTATTCGGAAGGTGTAAAAGAGCGCTGCAGTGATGATGACTGTGAGGTGATTGAATCTAACGTTGTGGTGGATCTGACCGGTGATGGAGATGAGGCGTGGATCGAAGAACGTCATTCGCATGACCAACAATTTGGATCTCTGTTGTCCTGGCTTCGGAAATTTTTCGAGTCGAACCTGCAGACAAAGCTTAAAAACTTAATCAACTTTACTCTGTGTGAACACTGTAAGAAACCTATAAACGACATTTTCGATATGGTGTTTGTAGAACAGTATCATTTGGTATGCCTGTTCAAATTTCAACTCGGCCAGGATTTAAACGAGGAAACTCTAGCCAGCATACAGATGTTGAAGATAAATTTATTTGAAGCATTTAAAAGTTTAAAAAGAGCACGGCTACTTATTAAAACATGTCCTCAGTTTTGCAGTTTCCTCGAGTCTCTAAAATCCGAAATCAGCGAGCGCATATGTCTGAGTTGCGGCGAAACATCAGATAACGTACTACTTCATTCACGGCAAACACACACTAGCAAACAAGACCGATACGAGTGTCGATTTTGCACGGAGTGTTTCGAATATGAATACCTTCAGCTGAGGCATGAGATGCGGCATCCCCGTCTGGTAAAGGAAAAACATTCCGGAATGTTGCTGCGTAACGAACAGTTCCTGTGCCCATACTGTAGGATACGTTTCGATGATGGCCAACGTATGCAGGAGCATCAACAGGCTCACGAGAAAGCAATTAAATTTCATCCGCTCAAAGGGCTGCGAACGTATCATCCGCCAACTGCGAGGGCTAGCAGGAAGGTAATCGTGAAACCCGAGAAAGACGAATTTAGTAGGCCATATTCTTTGCGATGTTATGCAAATTTAAGAAGTACAAATAAGTGTAAGCTTTAGTTACTGTTAAAGTACAAATTGTTATAAGCGTGTCTGTTTAAAATGAAAAGTTTGTCAGAGATAAAATGAATATTAACTTTAGGTTAATTTCACCTTGTTTTCCATTAGTCAGAAGAACTTGATAAAAAAAATAAAAATCATCTCATTCGGTGAAGCTTATTTCAGACTAAATTTAGGGCTAATAGTTCAAACCAGGATTGTATAATAGCGCCAAAAACCTTTAACTTGAATAAATTACTGAAAGAAATCTCAATCTGAAATCTAAAAATCTGTATCCACGGGATCGTATCCTCGTCGCGGCACATGGCTCGAAACAGACCGCAACAACTTGCGAGCCTTCCGAGTTGATGGAAACAGGTAGCTTAGCTAGGGGAATTTACGTATTCTCGTCAATCTAAGCAGCTTCCGCACTTCTATTAGCATTTTCTCAGTGTCACGCACACATATGATGTGTCTGTTTGCTTACATTCATCTGCTGCTAGCTATTCTATCCATTCCAATCAACAAAACTGTCCAAAACGGTTTGAAAACGTTTTTAAAGCGCTACAAACTTCTCAGGTGAGTGTGACTATTGTCGGCAGCCTCTTTTACTTCGGCAACCTTTTCGTTTAAACTGCGTGTAAACCAGCTGTTCTATTATCGGCAACTCGAAATCAGCCGTATTTTGATGTGCTTATGTTTCTTTTGCAGAAACACCTGGCATAACAGGTTTGCTCAGTCGTAAAAATGTATTAGGATTGAAGCTGAAAAACTAAGGAATCGTTTAAATACATTCAGCGAAGTGTTTTAGTGAGAAAATACATCGAAATTAACGTTTAAATTGTGGTTGCCGAAAACAGTCGATGGCTGCCGAAGCCATCATTTACCCTATGTGTTGTCCGATAAAGTTCTACCAACTCTAACGATGTTTACGTATATCAGAGGATTTCACGTACTCCGAATTTTGTATAAATAAATTACTTTGCAGATGAACTTTAATTGTTTATAGGGTAGCAAGTTAACCAGAAAATCGGGAAAAGTAGGAATTTTAATTTCACCAGGAAAAAGTTGGGAATAAGAAAAATCTACCAAGACAATTATCCAGATTTTATGATTTAGATAGCATCTGAATTTCACATAGGTGCTCTGCAAGCTATCGTGATTGGGAGCTTCAAATCGATTGGTGTCGTGGTTGTCATCGTACTTAACTGGTAAACGTTAACGTTAAACACGGATCTTATGTTTCATCGCCATTTGCTAGCACGTCCGGCAAGGAAGTAATTTGGGACCGTTACTGTTTGTGTTATTTTTCAATGACCCTGCATCTACCCTTGGCCACAAGTGCAAGCTCGTATATGCTAATGATCTAAAAATCTATGTGGTGGTATACTGCATCGAGGACTGCTTTCTCCTGCAAAGGTTGCTTACCATACTCGTACCATATTCGTTCACTGGTGCCGCTCGAACAAGCTTGTCATCAGCGTCGCGAAATGTCATGTGATGACGTTCTATCGGTTCAAAGACCCGATAATTTATGAATACCACATCGATGATACTGTTCTTAGCAGAGTGGATCAAGTGACGGATCTTGGTGTCGTGTTAGACTCGAAACTTTCCTTACATTCCCATTATGCGTCGATTATTTCCAAGGCTAATCGTTAACTTAACTGATCAGCATCAAAACAACAGCAAAGAGTTATGGAAAATGTTGAAATCTTTGATGAAGCCTAGTAATTGTAAATCGCGGACCATAACTTTTGATGGCATATTAGAACAGTCAGAACCAGTAATTCCTTCTAAGTTTAATGACTATTTTGTCGAGAGCGTTTCACTGATCAATCAATCTATTGAACTGATCAATGAACCGGACTAAATAAAACAGCCGATTAATAGTAATTGTAGATTTAATGGTTTTCACCCAATTACATTAGATGAACTTAAAAAGATTTGCTTTTCATTAGGAAAAACGGCTGGAGTAGATAATGTTAATGCTAGAGTTATTCAAGATTGCTTTCATGTCATTCGACACACTCTGCGGGACCTTATAAATCAATCATTGCAATCTGGGCACGTGCCGCATATTTGGAAAGAATCTTTAGTTGTTCCTATACAAAAGTTACTGGGACGATTAAAGCCGAAGAGTTTCGTCCCATCAACATGTTGCACACATTAGAGGAAATTTTAGAACTTGTTGTAAAAGGCCAGCTGTTAGAATATTTAAATAGTAACTGTTTGTTGATACCGGAACAATCGGGATACCGGGAAGGCCATTCTTGTGAAACCGCGTTAAACTTAGTGTTAGCTAAATGGAAAGAAAATTTGGAGCATAAAGATACGATTGTGAGAGACGAACCAGCCCAAGGCTGAAAGTCTCTTTAGTAAAGAAAAAAAAAAATAAAATATACGATTGTTGCTGTGTTTTTGGATCTAAAACGCGCTTTTGAGACAATTTCTAGGCCCTTATTGTTGAGAACAATCAAGCGCTTTGGAATTTCGGGTTCTACATACAAATGGTTTGAAAGCTATTTATCTGACAGAACACAAAGGACTGTTTTTAATGATTTTGTATCTTGTCCCGTTGACAATGACCTTGGAATGCCTCAGGGAAGTGTATTAGGGCCCCTTTTATTTATTATGTATATTAATGACATGCGACGAGTTTTACGGTTTTGTGATATTAATCTTTTTGCTGACGATACTGTGTTATTCATTGCAGCTAAAGATTTAGAAGAAGCCGTTTCACGCTTGAATGGAGAGTTGCGTTCTCTAAGTAGATGGTTGAAGTATAAACAATTGAATTTGAATATAAGTAAAACTAAATTCATGGTAATTTCGCGGAATCGTGTAGATGATGATGTCTTTGTTGTTATTGATGATGAGACAATTGATCGCGTTCAGGAAACTAAATATCTTGGCGTGATTATTGATGACAATCTCAAGTTCAATTCTCATATTGACAATGTCATCAAGAAAATTGCCAAGAAGTATGGAATTCTATGTCGCTTGAAAAACGATTTAACTATTGGTAGTAAAATACAGTTATACAAATCAATCATCTCTCCTTTTGCCCTTCCATTTTATTTTTGGCCAATGAAACACAAATACCGAGATTACAGCGTTTGCAGAATAAAGTAATGCGTTTGATTTTAAGATGTAATAGATTCACTTCCTCAACTTTTATGCTGGACGCTTTGCAATGGCTGTCAGTGAAGCAAAGAATTGTGTTTTTGACTATGGTGTTCATTTTTAAAGTAGTTAACGGTTTGCTGCCTCGATATTTGTGTGATCGGATTGAAAGAGGAAGTGATTTTCATAGATATAACACTAGAAACGCGGATGAAGTAAGAACACCACATCTTTTGAATAATGCTTCACAAAATTCATTATTTTTCAAAGGTATAAATGTTTTCAATTCGATGCCTAGACACATCAAGCGTGCAACTACACTTACAGAATTCAAGAGACGCTGCATTTCACATGTAAAAGCTGTTTATTGAGCAGTTACATTTTTATGAATGGATAAATCATGTATCTTGACAAAGTTATCACTAACGGATTATTTTGTATGGAGACTGTCATAAAGACATTTTAGTAATTTGTGTAGCATACCTATACAAAAAACTACATTGTTTGCCTCGATGGTGATGATGGATTTTTAGTTTTTTTGATTTTGTAGTAGTAATAGTAAAAATAGCTTTGAGTAGTCTGCAATGGTTTGAGTCTCGCGCGCGGAATACAGGTATAAATGACTAATACGTGGAAATTGTGGCAAAAGCCTTGAATTAGTAAAGGATTGGCTGGAACTCGTTTCCTTGGATATAGTCCTGGCACTGTGGAAGCTTAAACGTGTAAATCCCAGGTCACGTGTAAATGGAAGTATTGTCGAGGACTATACTTGGACTTTTGATAACTGGTTACACCTTTGAATGTTTTTGGTTGATGCCTATAGCATATTTAACAGGACATTTATATCTGTAATTGTAACCAGCTCGATTTTGTTTGCAAACCTGGTTAAAATGTTTATATTTAATTATCTTAAAGATAACTCGTCCAGCTCAAACCTTTGTAGGGGTAAGAGGTGGGACCATCATCATCATCATCAACTTCATCTCTAAGATTACCAAGGATTTCAGGGTTCCTTCCTTACCTTACCAATCAGGCTAAGGCCTTGTTGTCCTCTGCTGTCCGAAGAAGTCGTCTCCACTCTACTCGATCCATGGCCACACTTCGCCAGCCTCGTAGTCTGCGAAGGATCCGCAGGTCGGCTTCTACTTGGTCGATCCACCTTGCCCGTTGCGCGCCTCTTCTTCTTGTTCCTGTTGGGTCGCTTTCTAGAACCATTTTCACTGGGTCGTCGTGCGGCATTCTTACGACGTGCCAAGCCCACCGTAGTCGCCCAATTTTCGCAATGTGGACGATGGATGGTTCTCCCAGCAGCTGGTGTAATTCGTGATTCATTCGCCTCCTCCACGTTCCGTCATCCATCTGCACTCCACCGTAGATGGTACGCAACACCTTCCGTTCGAAAACACCAAGGGCGCGTTGGTCCTCCACGAGCATAGTCCAGGTCTCGTGGCCGTAGAAGACCACCGGTCTAATCAGCGTCATGTAGACAGTCAACTTGGTGCGGCGGCGAATTTTATTCGACCGGAGCGTCCTCCGGAGTCCAAAGTAGGCACGATTCCCTGCCATAATGCGTCTTTGAATTTCTCTGCTGGTATCATTTTCGGCGGCCACCAGTGAGCCCAAATACACGAACTCATCGACCACCTCGATTTCGTCATTACATGGTAAGTCTAATCCGCCTAGCTTCAACCTTCAGTCTGATGTACGTTTCCGCCATCGTCTCAAAGTTCCGTGCCATGATGTCAATGTCATCGGCGAAGCTAAAAAGCTGGATAGACTTCCTGAAAATCGTGCCACTCGTGTCTATCCCAGCTCTTCTGATCACACATTCTAACCCGATGTTGAATAGCAGGCACGAAAGTCCATCACCTTGCCATAACCCCCTCGAGATTCAAAAGGAGAGTGTCCCCG